CCATCTCAATTAACACGAATTGCAAATGTAGGAATAAAGTTGGTCAGGATATGTGACACTGCCAAGGAAGAAACATAAAGTTGAGGGAAAGTTCTTAACAAAATTTGTGAAGTTCCTTAAGAACTTTGCCTTAACTTTTTGTCATCTTTCTTTGAAACTTGTTCAAAAGGTCGAGTTGAATTTCATGGAAGCTCTCTTGGTTCTAACTCCTAAGCCAAAAGGAACTAGAGACTTGTTCTTCAATAGATAGTCTATGGTCAATAGGCTTGTATAGGTCATACAATTGTATGAGACATTTGCAAAGAGAGGAACAAGAGAAGTTTTCAAAAATAAAAAGACATCATACAAGGCTCTTATGGTTTGGGTTGTAGGCTTTTTTAACTCTTAGGTTCTTGTCACACCAGAACTGGAAGGGGTATCATATCCAATGTTTATACTGCCCAAAATCCTTTAGTCCTACTAGAGGTATCATAGTTATCATTGGTTTTCTTGAACCTTATTTTTGTTGTGATTTACAAGTCTTTGTTGTACCTAGTGTTTATACAACTTATAAACTGATCCAAAACTTGCACAAGCTCTTCTTGTCAATGATTGATCTTAATAGACTACAAAACCTACTACATGAATGGCATCAACAAAGATCAATGTATAAATAGGGATTACATTGTCATCTTATATAGGGAAATGCATGAGTGGAGCCTATTTTAATATTTTGTGTAGGTAAATGTGTAAGTGGGACCCACAGGTAATATTTTCATTTTTAAATGTGTTATTGGGTCCTGCACATAACATTTAACATGTGTGTAAAAGGGACCAACATGTATGCTTGCCAAATAGTCTTTCAGTCTTTCTAGATTTTGAAAAGATCTTTAAAAAAATTGTTACCAAATAGTCTTTGGTCTTTGAAGATCTACCTGTAAAAGCTCATCAGTCTTTTGAGGTCTTGTGCCTTTGGAAGATCTTCCTAAAAAGACTTGCCAAATGCCTCCTATATCTTTCCCGTACAGCAATATTATCACCAAGTTTTCATATGAATTAGAAAGTAAGGTAAGAAGCAAAAGGGCCTTGTCTTCTTCCTCCACCTTGACATCAACTTTCCCTAGTTGATCCAAGATACTATTGAATACATTTAGGTGTTCCAGGAGATTCCCACCTTCTTCCATTTTCAGCCTGTACAACTACCGCTTCAGATATAGTGTTGTAGTTAAGCTTTTTCCCCAAATAAAGCTTCTCCAGCTTATCACACAATTCCAGTGCAGAATCTTCCTCCATAATGTTAAACATAACGTTATCACCCAAGAGATATCGAATCGTACTAACGCACCTTGACTCGATGTCCTCCTAATCACCATCCTTCATTTCTTCTAGCTTCCCATCATTTCCCTCCAACGCTCTAGCCAAGCCTTGTTGAACCAGGATGCCCTTTACCCTTCTTTGCCATAGAGTAAAACTACCATTGCCATCAAACCTCTCAATCTGGAATTAAGAACTTATACCTTTTGCTGCCATTATCTCTCAAGCAATTTTATAAACACCTTGTAAACACTAATCCGGGATCTCTAATACCACTTTGTTGGGACTTCGCAATAACCACTCACAGTATAAAATCACAAGATATTTGAAATAATAACCACGAGAAATCTAATAGCAACAAAAATGATAAAATCTAAGCAAAGACAAATAAAAGCATGTGCCACAAAGAACATAAAGATTTACACGGTTCAACCTTACCACTTACGTCCATGAGAGAGATGAAATTTGTTCTTTACTATAAAAGAAAACTAAGAACAATACAAGTGTTTTGTGGCTTGCAGCCCAAACTAACCCTTAACCCTTGTACACCCATTCTCCCTTTCCTCTTAACCCGAAGAATAAAACAAGAGAAAAAAACTCACTCTCACACTAACAACATTCTATATTTTTCTCACACTAACCAAACGGTTCTAATGAAAATTCTTTAATTGATATCCTCATACGATACTTACAAGAATTTATATAGACTCCAATTAACTCTCAAATGACTCTCTAATAACTCACCCGATTTTACTTACTCACTAATCACCTTCAAATCTTATCCTAATTCCCAGGTAGGTAGGCCCACTAATGGGTATGTGACACATCTCTTCTTTTTCCACTTCTTTTTCTTCCTTTTTCTTCTCCCTCTTTCTCCACTCCCTCCCCTTCACCCTTCTCCACTATTGGAGATTCAACCTTTTCAATCTTGAAGAATGCCAAACTAGCAACAGTGGATGGCAATCCAACCTTAACCAAACTGAAAGTGGGAGAATTTTTATGGGCTTTCCTTTTTTTTTTACTCACAATTTTTCTTTCTTCTTGCTCCTCTTCTTTTTCTTTCACTTTTTTTTCCTTCTTCTCCACAGATGACAAATAGAACTAGTAAACTGGTTGCTTCTTTCTTCTTTTCTCATTTATTTCTCCCTCTCTCTCCTCTTCCAATTCTTCTTCTCTACTCTTTTCTCCTTCCTCTTTTATTTTCCTTTCTTGTTTTTTGCAATCAATTGGGATTGAGACCAGGCATATAGGGTGATTAGAAACCATTGAAACAGGTGGTTTGGGTGCTATAATGAATGATCTGTGGGTCTCTATAAGACAATCGTCCTCCAACAATCCCATGAGACCCGGGTTCAACTGTGAATGAATTGACCTTACATCAACTTGTTGAACACTAAAACAGACATATAGAGTGAAGAAAGAAAGAAGAATAGAGGAAAGAAAGAAAGAGAAGGAAAGAGAAAAAAGATAATTGAGAAGGAAGTGCAATCAAAACAGAAACAACTATGATGCTCTTGATAGCAGCAACAGAGAGGAAGAAGGAGAGAAATTGGGCGATCTTTTAGTTTTGCACATGGGAGCCTGTCTTGTGTAAGGGATAGGTGGCATGCCCTCATCGTGTTGGAAGCATGTTGAGGGTAAATCCAAACTTGTACAAATTTCCCTGTCTTGTCTTGACTATGGAGTCATTCACTAGTTTAATTATAAAGAAAAGGTTGCAAGGTTCAAGCTTTGCAAACATGCATATATTGTTCTATTTCAAATACATAATGAAGCATTTTCAAAATCGATTTTGATTGATCAAAAACTCTTTCATACCATATCTTTCCCACATCATAGATTTTCCTATTTATGGTGTACCTATTTGTAAAATTGATCAGTTATAACTTGAAGGAATAGGAAGAGCTAGGAGAGACTGAAAAAGACCTTGGTGGAACCATGAAAGCAATAAGAGATTATTTAAGCACTCATAATGCAACAGAGTGGATGAACTTTGATTAATATAGCTGAACCCATTATAATTGGGACAAGGTTTAGATGATGAATGGATGATAATATGTTTTACTATACGAACTAATTTAGGTAACTATTAGATTAGTTAGTTGAAATTCTTGATTTTTTTAAAGGTTTCAATCATGTTTCATTCATTCAAGAGATTGGTACAAAGAGATGCCACCCAGGCCAAATAAAGAACGATACATTCTCAAAAAGAATAAAACAAATAGATGTTAGGAGAATCAGAAGAACTTCTGCAACCAAAGCAAGGTGAGTTAACATCACCAAAAGAAGTGGATAAGAACATTTCCAAACCACCATAACTGGCGAACAAACTAACAAGAAGAGTTACCAACCAAACCAAAAACTGATAGATGAAGTTACATAGCCACAGTAACTTCCAACTACACAAAAAAAAAAAACTGTAGAAGACGCACCATCTGTAACTACCATCCAGCACACCGAAGAACTGTTAACTACAAGCTATCTTCCAAAGAAAGCCGGAGAACTGTAATGTCCACCCACAACGCCGAAGAATGGAAAGTCCATTCACAACGCCAAAAAATGCCAAAAAACTGTAATTACCATCTGGAAAGCCAGAGAACTGAAACTACCATCCAGGACGTCGGAGCACTATCACAGGCATTTAGGACGCCAGAGAAACACAGAAACAGAGAGCAAACTATCGTTGGAATAGTATCTCGGCCATCTAGCATTAACTCAGTCAACTAAGACGTCAGAATGCCCGCAAAAAAAAGCAAACAAAAAAAAATAGAAGATGAAAGAAACAAAGAAAGAAATGGGTGATCCTCAAGAGATCTAGAGACATCTCAAGAGAAACAAAGATTGAGAGAGGGAGAGAGAGAGGAAAACATAGGAGAGGGGAAACAAAGAGCAAGAGAGAGAGGGGGGAAAAACACAAAAAAGGGAGAAATAAAGAAATGGGAAAAACACTGAAAAGAAAAAAACCTCTCCGGAAAGAGAGAGAGACAAACCTCCAGAGGGGGAGAAAAAAGTCACCCTACCAAACAACTCTATGGCAGACTTTGGTGCTGACTTTCTGTACTTCACGACCCAAGAGACTTCGGCGCTTCCCAAGTTCTTGATAGAACTTGCCTATGGATAGGTTAACACATACATGTATAGAGCTGCAAATGTATCAGATTTATTTATATTTGGATTTAAATCAAATATTATATGTGGATTTATATCAGATTCAAATAAAATTTACCTTTATATAAAATGAACGTAAATGATTTTGACATTGTATGCCATGGAATAAATGAATTGAAAATAATTTGTATGAAACACCAAACAAAATTTACCGAATAAGCAAATCGGATCGGATAGCGGGATAGGGGTGGGCTCATCTTGAATCAAATCGTATCCAACGCCCAACGGAAAAACAGATGCTTTTGCAGCGGATAAGCCCATCTCCGCGACAAAGTGTTAGGTCTAATCATTGATTTTCATTATCTTGTCCTTCCTTTTGGGATAAAAATGTTCTCTAGGTGGCCTGGATCGACTCAAGTTTTATCGCCACGTCAGTTGGGGCCATGCATCACACCTCTCGCGGTAGCAATATTTAGCGTTGAACAACATCAGCTGTATGGCCCAGCCTGAGGAGGGCTGACGTGGCCAATAATGGAGCCCTGTTGGTGCAGGTTGTTGCTACTAGCACAATTGCACAAAAGCTTAGCCAGACAACCGGACCGGCAAATCGCCGGTTTTCCTTTTCTTGGTTTTCGAAGAAAACGAGAGTTTTTTTGTCTTTGTTTTCGGGATCAGATCAAGCCGTCGTTAGGAGAACTAGTTCGCCGCTCAAAGCACTCTCTCTCTCTCTGGACACTAAAAAGATTCTCAACACGGGTCAGTCAGATGGTCAGCTCGCAGTCTAGGAATCTAAAACCAGAAGGGGTAATAACCGCGAAACTGCTTCCGAGGCAAAATACAAAAGAAGATGAGAAAGTAATCTCTTTTTTCCAGCTTTGATTGATTCGAAGAACGAGCTCAGACGTTCGTTGCCGTCGAGTCCAAGTTGGTGTAGTCACTGTTAAAAGGGTTCATGGTCTGAACATGCGAATCGGCTTTTGTTTAGTCAGCGAATCTCGTTATCAGTACCCGCAAATTCATATTCTTACTGAAAATTCCAGTTCTCCGCTTTGTATGCTCTCACGATGACCAGAGAGTCATCGGAAGGTCCAACCACCAGAGATCTTCTCTGCAACGCTGGTGCCGGTGCCGCCGCAGGTTTTTTCTCACTCCTCATCTTTCGTTTCTATTAAAATTCTGAATTTTCTGTGGTCTATTCGCTCTAAGATAGGGTTCAAGTCATTCCTAGGTTTTCCTCTTTTCTTCTGGCTATTGCATATCGTGATCCTATTCACTGTAGGACGAAAATTTTGAATTATAGAGTTTACAGATCAGGGAAAGGTGGAACTTTAGTTCATGCTGAGATTCGTGTTTAATTTGCATAATTTGACCAATAGTTGTGCATTGTAGGGGCTATTGCTGCTACGTTTGTGTGTCCTTTGGATGTAATCAAGACAAGGCTTCAGGTCCACGGCCTGCCCAATTTGCCCCATTCTGGTAGCAGAGGTACGAAGGATCAGATTCAGGATCTTAGCGGTTATTTGAACTATATGTTTCGTTCTATTCCACTCAGAGCTGTTTCCATTGTGCGTTGTGCAATGGGTAAAATCCAATTGCCTGCACAAACGCATTGGTGAATTTAATATCACCATTTGAATTAAATATGCAGCGCCCTGCAATGATTATCACTTGTTAAATAAAGAAAAAGTACAACTAAGAAACCTGAGAATAGAATTTTTGAGTCTTTGTTTGTAGAGCAAAACTTGTTCAGGTTCAACCTGAACTGCCCCCAGAGCTAGATCTGAAAGGAAAACAAAGAGATTTATAAGAATTTTTATGAACAATGACCTTGACATATTTGTTTTTGAGTGGCTTAATACAGCCTTAATACCAGGAGCTTATTTGCTTATCATTGTTAAATTATTAAAATTCATAAATATTTGTAACTCATTTCTGGAACGTTAATCCTTTTGAACTAAAGAATCATTAGTTAGGGCTTGAGTGAGGGGTATGGGAAGACGACTGAAGAATCTATACCAGATTCCTTTGGATTGAATTGTATCCCATTTAAGGGAATCATCTCCTGATCATTGCACTCCACATCATTGCTCATCAAAATGAGAATAATATCTCAATGATGTCTGGTAAAAACCTGGAAACCAGGTCCTTGATTCCACAGAATCAGCATGCATTAATAGGAAGGATTGTTGGTTCTTTGACATCACATCACAGCAGAAAGTTACAACTAATAAAAGGAGTTGAACATCTCACATTCTACATGGTCAAATCACATATAATTCGGAAAACTATTATTTATTTTAGTTCTCCAAATTCTGTTGTCTCATATATTTTATAATTTATAGAGAAAAGAAGGACCTTCCTATTCATTGGAAACTTCTTAACCCAGGACCATCTGACTAAAATAATTCATGTATAAGGAATCTTGAAAGGAGGCACATAGGTTCCCATATGTATTGGATTCTTTTGGCCAGACTAGATAATCTGGCTGATTGGAGGGTTTGTTTAGCCCTACTAGCATTAGCTGTACAAAAAAGAGGGGTAGGACCTTGTGGAGATGCACTAGAGCAGCACTAATTTGGACTGTGTGGGAGGAAAGAAATGCAAGAATATTTGAAGAGAAGGAATGAAGCAAGGAAACCTTGGTTGAAGCTGTTTTCGGATTTCAAGATTGAAGATTTCTTCAGAGCTTGGGCCTTGGGGTCCCATCGCTGCATCCTCAACTACAAGACAAAGATCTGTTTAGGTTTGGTCTCCTCCAATAAATGGTTGGAAGAAACCGAATTTTGATGGGATCTGTTTGGGTAATCCAGGGCCCTCAGGTAGGTATTGGGGGAGTCATTAGGGATGAAGAGGGGAACATAATTACTTTATACTCTGGCCCTGTGGAGCAGGGTGATGTGGCAAGATCAGAGTTTTTGGGGTTGAGAAGGCAAAAGAACTGGGTATTAGAAAGCTGATTATTGAGGGAGATTCTAAAACTGTGGTTAAGTGGCTGGCTAAAGGGGAGGGGGTGGCATGGCATTTGATGAATGAATTCAGAAAATTCAAATGGCTGTCACAGGACATGTTAATCCAAGTGAAATGGGTGAGGAGCACTGCTAATAGCTTGGCAGATAGCTTAGCCAAGCAAGGGGTACATAGAACACATATCTTTTGGGCTCAAATGTAGTACTGATTTGGGACAGCTTCTATTAGCTGGTTCCTTTCCCAACTTCTTGTTGTAATCATGTTTCTTTCATAATTAATGATTTTTTTCTGTGTTGCTGATAAAAAAAAAATTATAGGAACCAATTCAAATAATGAAGTACCTTTCTAGATAATCTGCTTTGTCCTGCCACCCTCACTTTATTAATTCCTTCAGTTTGAAATTAAAAACTATGGACATTCTTATCTCTTTCTTTTCACATGCTCACTTTTTCCTTGTCCGTTGCCTGTCTTACACTCTAACATGTGAAATATTTGATGCTTTGCATACTATGGTTAAATTCAGGTAGCCTCATCATTACAAGTCTGCAAAACATAATTAAAAATGAGGGTATGAAGGGAATGTATCGTGGTCTTTCTCCAACGATATTGGCACTACTTCCAAATTGGGCAGTGAGTACTAGAAACTTGTGTCTTCTGCCATTATTTCTTTGAATGAATTAATCTGTTTCTGTTTCATCTGTTTATTTCTCTTAAAGTTTTCATGTTCTTGTATTTCCTATTGTGATTGTTTTGAGGAACAATCTACTAGTTCTTTCTTATCATTCACTGGTCCTGGATTCATGAAATGAAATCTGTCCCTACTCTGATACAACCACTCATTTTGGACCATTAGGAAATAATGGTTTTATCCCTTCATGGCTATAGACTTCTACCATTATATCTTTTGTTAGTAGTGCATAAACTTCTGTTTATGTTTATTGATCAGATATCAGTTATATCCTTGTTTTCCTTTTAAGGGAAGATTGAATACAGCCAATTTTTTGAGATGATGAAAAAGGGGTGTTGTAACTAGAGTTGTCACATGACTACAGGCCTCAAGCCATTTCTAGCAATAATCAATGCTTTTCTATCTTTTATTTTCAATTGTACCTTTTGTATGTAATGTTTCCATTCTCTGATCTACTAATTATGAAGAGAGACAAAAGGATACCATGTTACAATAATAAATATGGAAGTTAAAGAAAAGCAAATGGGCATGTCAGCTATGCAGTTCACCCCTCTCAAGACCTTGGATAGCTAGGGCCAACATTGGTTTATCACCCTTTATGGAGACATTGCTTTTCATGTTGGTAAAATCTCAGATCGGCAAACCTAAGAAAACAGGTTTAATTCTCAGAGTGGCTGCTTTGTGTAAGAAAATGCCAAATCCTAGGTTGATTCCAGTTCACTCCTCTGAACACATCAGATGGCTGTGATCAACATTGGAAATGGACTCAAAGAGGCATTTACTTGGGTGGTTGAGTTTGAAAGTGATTCTGTTTTTACTTTTTTTCCTGAGCAGATTATAGTCCGTTACAATATAAATATGAGGCTACTACATGCCTTCTTATAAATTATATTTACTTTTAAGTCTGACAAATATAAAAAAATTCCATCTAGAATCCTTTTATGATTTCTTCATTTGAATGGTTTCTTGAACCTGTGGTTAAGATACTTGAAATAGTTTCATTTTTCTCCAATTAACATCAGTACTTATTTTATTATGTAGGTTTATTTCACAGTTTATGAGAAGCTCAAAGGACTGCTGCATTCCCATGGTTGCTTTTCTAAATTCTCTTTGGCAAATTTCTATTTTTTTCTTTCATTTTTAGGGAAATGCATTTTTCCACTTCAGTGGTCTTAACAATTTGCAAGTACTTGATTCCTCATTTTTGCTAATGTTGGTATTGTTTTAACAATTTGTAGTGGATAGGGATAACCAACTTACAGTTGGCGCAAATATGGTAGCGGCAACTGGTGCTGGAGCTGCCACAGCTATTGCAACCAATCCATTATGGGTTGTGAAGACCAGATTGCAAGTATGTTATGATTACTTACTGGGATAAGCTGTATTTATGTCTTGTATATTTGCCTTACTGCAGTGATATCAGATATGTGAAATCTCCAAAATAGTATTAGCAGTAAGTGCAGCTTTTACATTTCAATTTGTTATCGTTAGTTTTTAAATCATTGAAGTTGCATTATTTGTTTTCCTTTTTCTTTCAGGGGGAGGGGAGAAAAACTAACAAATTCATTCAGAAACAAATGAAACCTGAGGAAACCAGAGATACAACCACTAAAGCCAAACACAAAGCTAGAGCAACAGGGAAAAAAAACTGACACAACCTACTAAACTAAAGAAAAACACTGAAAAAGACCAAAGAAAGGTATAAGACTCAGCCTCAGAAAACCTGCTAACATCTTTAAGCAATACCGAAGAAAGCCAATCAGGAGCAGAACTAATAACCAAGCCTGAACTTTGAAAGCCATGGGTAGCAGCAGTATGAGCTGCCTTGTTTCCTTATCTGGCAATGAACTCGAAACTAACATTAAGGTCTTGTACCAGCTTCTGAATGTCTTGGATGATAAACCCAGAATCATTCTCTACAGCCATGTTGAAAGACGCTAAGCATTATTGCATTATCGCTTTGCAATCACCTTCCACTATTACATTTTTGAGATTCTTTGCCTTGAGGAACTTTAAACATTCCAGCACAGCTATGTCTTCTGATTTATGGGGGGATACTGCCTTTGATTTACCAAACTCTGCTGCCAAAAAAGACCCCTCTTTCATCCTGGATTTTGAAATCAAATAATGTTTGAACATGTTATCCTTTTTCTTCATACCAATTCATGGTTTGTTTTTCTCCAAGATCTTTCTCTTCTTCGATGGCGCTTTTATAGTGGTTCAGAATTCAGATTGATATTCATATCCATAATCTGTATCTGTAATATGTGAAATGGTTTTCCCCTTCATCAATTTCTACCATGTTTAGGAATGGTGTATCTGGTCCACTGCCAATCTGATAGAAAATTCTTTCTTGATGGGTAATCAGAATTTATTAATAAAAGAATCTAATGGAATATTCTCTGAATCAGCTACATGGACGATGCCTTTTATAGTTGTGCTGAATTTTGTTTTTGTCAATTAAGTTCATTGTTGTTTGTAATGTTATGGAGAGTCCTCAAAGCTAATATGTCTAGCCAAGCCAACACTTGGACTCTGCCAAGATTTAATACATGACATGGCACTTCTTGTGGCATGTTTCTGATGCTCCAGATGAAGTCAGCATGTGTTTAGCTATCTCAGACAAGGCATGATTGGTTTTGAGAAAGAAAAGCTAAAAATAGATATTTTGAACTGTTAAACATGTGTGTGATGGTGCAATGATTTGCATGAGAATATTGCAGGAGACATAGGGAGTTTCCATTTACATTAAGTCAATGTCAAGGGTCAATACTAGCTCATTTATTTGCAATGGTCATGGATGAGCTAACTAGGTGTCTCATGTCTGCTGGATGAGCTCCCTTTTTTTTGATAAGTAATAAAGTGATTTATTAAGAATGATTAATATGAGCCAACAAAACTTGCATAATAGAGATCCCACAGAGAGGAGTGAGGTGCTGCCTAAAAAACAAAGCAAAATTACAACTGAGACCAGAATAATTGATCCCTATGCACTCCTTGCTTGGCAAGAAGATCTGCCATCCCATTAGCTGATCTCCTTTCCCACTGAACTCTTAACTGTTAAATTGGATGTTAGCCACTTAAATTTTCTCATCACCCCCCTATATGACCATGCTACAGTCCCTGGCTCTTTCAGCCACCCAATTACAAGTTTAGAGTCTCCTTCAATGACCAATCTTGTGAAGTTTAAATCTTTTGCTAGCTGTGATCCTTGTAAGACTGCTTGGACCTCTGCACTAACTGCATCCCCCACTCCTATTGGGCCAGAAAACAAGACAGCAACCTGATCCTTTGCTTTCCTAAACACATCTTCAATACCGGAAGGCCTGGGATTGCCAAAACTGCTACTGTCAAAGTTTAGCTTGATAAAGCCTTCTTCAGGGGCCCTCCAAGCAACAGCTGGTTTGTTCTTAACAGAAGAGGATTTTGCAATTACTTCCCAGTTTCTCCACAAGTCAGCTAGAGAGAATTGTGCAAAGAGTTCTGATGCTTTAGCCCAATTAATGGCCCTGTTTAGCAAACAATCCCAAACAGAATCCTCATACCTCGCTTTATCATTGAAGATTCTATTATTTCTTTTCTCCCAAACTGTCCAACCCAAAGCAGCCCTAACACATCTCCATAAAACTCTCCCTCTTCTCTTAGGCCACCAAAAGCTTGTAGGTTCAGAGTCCCCCAATTTGCAAGGGCATCATCCACCAGCAACCATAGAGACCAAAAATCCTCTCCCAAAGTTTCAAAGTAAAAGGGCAAGAAATTAGGAGGTGGTGACAGCTTTCTCCATTAGCTTTACAAAGGATACACCAACTTGGGGAAATACTAAGATTGGGTTTTTTCTTTTGTAGGATGTCTAAATTGTTTATGTTCCCAAGAGAAACTTCCCAACAAAGAGCAGCTCCAACCTTGGGGGGGGGGGACGGGTTTAGACCAAATTTCTTTACAAAATAAAGATTAAGGGTTGGGGGGGGTACACAATTGGGAGAAGTAGGAAGCACACAAAAAGATGCCCAAAGAGTTGGGAGTCCAAATTCTAGCATCTGGTTAGGAATGGTCTAAGCAAACTGGGTCAAGGGTTTTAAGAAGCAGAGCGACTTGGTTTATCTCAGAGTCTCTCAGATTCCTTCTAAAGCCCAGATTCCAACTTAATCCAGAAGACTGAGAGAAAGACACAAACCTCTGAATGGGTTCATTTTTGAAGAGGGAGAGGAAATACAAAGAGGGAGAGGTCCTTAAGGGTGGAGTTTCCAATCCAGGTGTCCTCCCAATAAAGAGCCTTATCTCCAGTACTAGCGTCATACCTGATAAGGCTCAAGAAGAGGGGAAGAATGCCATTAATAACCTTCCACAGAGAGTTCAAAGTAGCCTGCCGAGATACTCCAGAATCCCAACTATTCTCTGCGCGTCCATGAATACTTCCTATAACCTTATGCCATAGCCTCTCCCTTTCTAATGGCCATCTCTACAACCATTTACCCAATAGAGCTACATTCTTATTCCCTAAATTACCTATGCCTAAACCCCCTTGTTCCTTACTCTTGCAGACTACCTCCTATCTCACCAAGTGATCTTTTCTTCCTTCTCTTGGCTCCCATAAGAAATCCCTCATTATCTTTTCCACTTTCAGCACCTCCCTAAGTGGCATCTTAAAGACTAAAAGGTAATAAACTGTCAGATTTGCTAAGGTAGACTTTATCAAGGTAATACGACCCCCCAACGAAACATTGTTCCTCTTCCAAGATGGCAATTTCCTAATACAACTTTCAAGAATTGGGTTCCAAAAGTTTCCTTCCCTTGGGTTGGCTCCTAAGGGCAAGCCTAGGTATTTTAGTGGCCATCTAGTGGTAGAACAACCTAAAGTCTTGGCAACCTTAGACACCTCCTCCTCCCCCAAGTTCATCCCCACCACACGGCTCTTTTCAAAATTAATCTTCAACTTAGATATAATTTCAAACAATTTTAGCACCTGCTTCAAGTTCCTTGCTTTCTTAGGGTCTGTACCTTCACAAAAAATTATTGTATCGTCAGCAAACTGCAAATGTGTAATCATTGTACTTTCTCTCCCCACCCTCCAACCTCTAAAAAGATCCAACAAATCTGCTTTTGAGATAAGTTTACTAAAAACCTCAGCCACCAAGGTAAACAAGAATGGAGAAAGAGGATCCCCTTGCCTCAATCCTCTAGTTGTAGGGAAGAAGTCTCTAACCACTCCATTAACTAAGACTGAGTAATGACAAGTTTTCAAGTAACCTTCAATCCAACCACACCACCTTTCTCCAAAGCCAAAATTTCTCAAGGTGTCCAAAAGAAAAGACCAATCAACCATGTTATATGCTTTCTCCAAGTCCAATTTACACACAAAGCCTATCTCTCCCCTTTTCTTCAAATCCTCTACACACTCATTAGCTATCAAAATTTGGTCAATGATCTGTCTTCCCTGAATGAACACCCCTTGGGCGTGGTTAATTAAGTCGGAGAGGACCAACTTTAATCTTAAAGACAAGACTTTGGCCAGGATTTTGTAGATGCTATTCACTAGGCTAATGGGTATGAAATCTCTTGGTTGAGTGGCATCACCCTTCTTGGGAATTAATGCTAAAAAAGTGGAATTAATCCCCAGGCTTATGAAATGTTCATTTGCAAATTCCTCAAAAACTGCCCAAAGATCCAACTTAATTATCTCCCAGCAATCTTGATCAAAAGCCATCATGAAACCATTTGGTCTTGGTGCTTTTGACCTATCCATTGAGAACACTGCCCCTTTTATCTCTTCTAGATCAAAATCTCTCTCCAATATTCTTGTCAACTCCTAGTTAAGCCCAGGCCATTCCAATCCATCCACAGAGGTTCCCACATTATCTTGTCGTTTGAACATAGATTTAAAATGATTGACAAAACAATTGGCAATCTCTTCTTGATCAGTCAATGTTTCTCCATTCACTTCTAATTTCTCCTCAAGATTTTTCCTCCTACCATTAGCAAGTGCATGGAAGAACTTAGTATTGCCATCCCCCTCTTTGATCCATTGGTGCCTCGAATTCTGCCTCCAACATATCTCTTCCCTAAGTAAAATTTCTTCCAATTCTTTTTCAAGGACCATCTCAAGACCTTGCCTTCCTCTCTTGTCAAACCTTGACTCCTTATCATCCAACTGCTCTATTTGAGAGGTTACTAGTAATTTCTTTTCCTCAATTCTTCCAAAATGTTCTCTGTTCCACTCTTTGATTTCACTTTTAAGCCTTTGTAATTTTTTTTTTTAAATTTAACCCCTTTCCAAAACACTCCCCTCACTTCTGTTCCCCACCAGTCGTCCACCTTGTGGATGAAATCCAGGTGTGTCAACCGCATGTTTTC